GGCCTGCCACGGGGCTGGCGTCCTCTCCCGGCCTTCTCATTTGCCTGGTTGCTGGGCGCTCAGACGCCGGGGCCGCCCTGATGTCCGTCCGCCGGTCCCTGCAGCTCCACTGCCCTGAGCACAGGCTGGTGACATGGCAGCTGAGATCAAGTTAGGGACAGTCCAGCCTGGGCTCCCTGCTGTGGCCCTCCCCACAGCCACGCCCCCAGGTCTGCAGTGTCCCTGTCCTCGGACCACAGGGACCCCCACCTGGGCGGTGCCAGGCCAGGCAGGGCCAGGGCAGCGGGTGCGGAGCTCAGTGTGCCCTCCCTGCCCTCCTTTCTGCTCGTGGGTGAGGTGCGGTGGCGGTGGCGGTGGCGGCGGTGGCGGCGGCAGCGGTGGCGGTGACAGTAGTGGTGCGGTCGTGGTGGCTGACCTGCATGCCTCGCTGGTCCCGTCCGACAGGGGGTGTCGTTCGACCAGGCCAACAACCTGCTGATAGAGCCAGCGCGCGTAGAGGAGGAGGAGGTCTGTACTGCCCCGCTCGCTCACTCGGCCTCGGGGCTGCTGAGCTGCTGCTGCTGCAGAGCCTCTCCCCAGTCCCCGGGGCAGACCCTCCTGAAGGGGTTGTCCCTGCTCACTCGGCCTCGGGGCTGCTGAGCTGCTGCTGGCTGCTGCTGCCTCTCCCCAGCCCCTAGGGTAGACCCTGCCTGAAGGAGCTGCCCCTGTGGCCCTGGCCGTTGGTGAGAGCGGCCCTCAGCTCCTGTGGCCCGCGCTGCCCACACGCTGCCCTCCCAGACATCACGTGCCTGTCCTCTCTCTAGTTGACTCTCACCGTCCTGCGGCAGACAGGGGGCCTGGGCATCAGCATCGCTGGGGGCAAGGGCTCCACCCCGTACAAGGGCGACGATGAGGTGAGCCCCAGCCTCCACGCACCACACCGTGCCCGCCACCTCGCCTTGGGCTCCCTCCCTCGTTTCCCAGGGAGCAGGCCGTGCTTAGATGCGCCATGTCCGGCCTGGAGGAAAAGGGGTCAGCCCTGAGGGTGTCACCTGGGGCTCTTGGTTACGTAATGGCCAGCCTGTGTGCCCTCCACCCCTCTTTTCACTGCAGTCGGAGCCAGGCTTGGGGCCAGAAGCCTTTCCTATGGGGTGGTCTGCTCCTGGGACCCAGGACCCCACAGAGCCTCCACTCCCATCTGACCCTACCCCATGCCCTGAGGTCCTCGTAGCTCCCAGAGTAGCCAGGGTGTGGCAGGCCGCAGGCACGCACGCCCTGCCCAGTGCTGGACGGCCCCTCTGTTTCCAGGGCGTGTTCATCTCACGGGTGTCCGAGGATGGCCCCGCTGCCCGGGCTGGAGTCCGAGTAGGTGACAAGCTGCTCGAGGTGAGTCGTGATCCCTCTGGGGTCCACGTCGCCCTCAGGCGGGGGGACCCTGCCTCTCTGAGAGCCCCCGGTGAAACTCCAGAACATCGAAGGGAGGCCTCGGGAGACTGGGTCTTCTGAGGACGCCAGAGGCCGTGGGGGTGCTGGGGCGGTCTCTGCTGGCCTATGCTGGCTAGGCTCGTACCCAAGCCTCTGTGTGGGGACTCATGTCTCCGGACAGCCCTGTTGGTGTGTCAGACGCTGTTCCCCGGCCGGCAGACGGCCGTGGCTGCAGATGCTCTGAGCGAGGACACGGCCTCCTCATGGCTCACACAGGCCAGGAGCCGGGCCCCCAGGAGCCCTGCGCCTCAGCTTCTCTGTCAGCGGCGGGTGTGGAGACCGCGTGAGCCCGGGATGCAGCCGGGCTCTGACTGCACTGCGGCCCCGTGTCTGCTGCCCAGGTGAACGGCGTGGCCTTGCAGGATGCAGAGCACCACGAGGCCGTGGAGGCGCTACGGGGGGCAGGCACCACTGTGCAGATGCGGGTGTGGCGGGAGCGCATGGTGGAGCCCGAGAACGCTGTCACCATCACACCCCTGAGGCCTGAGGATGATTACAGCCCCCGGGAGTGGCATAATTCCAGCCCCCGGGAGTGGCGGGGGGGCAGCCTGCGCTTGCCCCTGCTGCAGCCAGAGGCCCCCGGGCCTGCCCGCCAGCGTCATGCCGCCTGCCTGGTGCGCAGTGAGAAGGGACTGGGCTTCAGCATTGCTGGTGGGAAAGGCTCCACGCCCTACCGCGCTGGGGACGGGGTAAGTGTGGGCCGGCAGGGCAGAGCCACCCACACACCCTCCCTGAGCTCACGGCGCACCTTTGTGCCTGCAGGGCATCTTCATCTCCCGCATCGCCGAGGGCGGTGCTGCCCAGCGGGCGGGCACTCTGCAAGTAGGCGACCGCGTGCTCTCGGTGAGTGGGCGCGGCCAGCCGTCCCGCGGCCCTCTGTCCACCCAGCCCACCCGAGCCTCCCTGACCCAGCCCGCTCTCGCAGATCAATGGCGTCGACATGACCGAGGCCAGGCACGACCACGCTGTCTCCCTGCTGACCGCTGCCTCCCCTACCATCGCTCTGTTGCTGGAGCGGGAGGCTGGGGGGGGGTCCCTTCCCCCCAGCCCCCCGCCACACTCCTCTCCCCCGTCTGCTGCCGCTGCCTTGACCACTGTTGTTCCTGGCGAGCCGGGGCTGCCAAAGCCTGCCCCCAGCCTGCTGGCCACTGCCCTGGAGGGACCATACCCAGTAGAGGTGAGCCCTACCCAGGGTCCGGCTGACTGCAGCCCTTTCTTGTGGGAGAGCTGGTGTGGACTCCCACCCACGGCCCAGAGCCCACAGCAGTGCCCCACAGCCAGTCTAGCATGGCCGCCATGGGCCCAGATAGCCTCCCCGCGGGTGCCCGGCTGGCCACATGGCCACCGTCACTGAGAACCCTGGCTTCGGTGTTTGTGCATCAGACCTCCTGGGGGTGCGTCCAGGCAGTCCTCTGTGCCCCTCATGCCCCGTCCCACCCAACCAAGGCCATCCCGTGTCCCAGGAGATCCGTCTGCCACGAGCTGGGGGCCCGCTAGGGCTGAGTGTCGTTGGGGGCTCCGACCACTCCAGCCACCCATTCGGGATTCAGGAACCCGGCGTGTTCATCTCCAAGGTAGGCAGGCCAGCCTGGCAGCTGGGCTCGGTCAGCACTGCGGCTGCACCCTGCACACCACCCCCCTCCTACAGGTGCTCCCGCGCGGCCTAGCTGCACGCAGTGGCCTGCGGGTCGGGGACCGCATCCTGGCCGTGAACGGGCAGGACGTGAGAGCTGCCACACACCAAGAGGCCGTCAGCGCTCTGTTGCGGCCCTGCCCGGAGCTGTCGCTGCTGGTGCGGAGGGACCCGCCACCCCCAGGCATGCGGGAGGTCTGCATCCAGAGGGCCCCCGGGGAGAGGCTGGGCCTCAGCATCCGCGGGGGCGCCCAGGGCCGTGCAGGGAACCCCTGTGACCCCACGGACGAGGGCATCTTCATCTCCAAGGTGAGGCTCACACCGGCACGCTGCCCCACACGCCGGCGTGGCCCCCGCCTCCATGCCCGTGTCCCATAGGTGAGCCCCACGGGCGCGGCTGGGAGTGACGGCACGCGGGGCTACGGCTCCTGGAGGTGGACGAGCAGAGCCTGCTGGGCCTGACGCACGCCGAGGCCGTGCAGCTGCTGCGCAGTGGGGGTGACCGCCTCACCATGCTCGTCTGCGACGGCTTCCACACCGATGCCGGCACCACAGCCACCCTGCAGGTCAGTGCCCTGCACGGGCCCCACCCCCACCCCCCGGCACAGCCACGGGCCAGGCAGGGGTCCTGCCCACCAGGTCCTATGGCAGCCACAGTGCAGAGGGCAGCCCCGCTGCACACTCATCCTCGTGTGGCTGAGGGTCTCGGGCCGAGCAGGGCGGCCCGCGTGTCCTGGTCCTGAGAAGAGCTAGACCCAGTGGCCCCAGGTGGTGGCACGCAGAGGGTGGCTGCCAGACCAGGATGGCAATGGCCACTGGGTCTGCCTGCAGATGCGTGCAAGGCTGGGCCCTCAGGTCCCTCCTGGCAGCCTTCAGCTGAGAGCATGCCCCCTAAGGTCTGCGCTGGCCTCTTGCACTCTGTAACCCAGAACCACAGCCAAGGTCAGGGGTGGGGGCACAGACCAGGGCCTGGATAGCCTGCTGCCCCTGACTCAGACCCCACTGTGCCTCTTACCAGCTCAGTCTCCTGTCCTCTCCCTCCTGCTGTACCCGGGCTCAGCATTGCCCACCTTCATGCTCTGATGGGCCTCTGAGGACTCTGCCTTGCAGGGACCACCCATCGCAACGCAGGCCACAGGCCCTGGTGCCGCCCCGCCCCGCCCCACAGCACGTGTGCACACAGCTCCACTTGTCACAGCATGGGCTCCGCTACATTGGTTGGGTTTTGCATTGGGTCTGTGGGACGGGGACCGACTGCCAGATGGCAGTCAGAAGGGCAGCCCAAGGCCGGTGGCCCCAACAGTGCGCTCCCCAGATGGGCAGCAAGTGGCAGCACTTGGGTTCCCACTCCCGTCTCTCCCGGGCTGCCCTGATGGTTTCTGGGGAGGTGTCACTCAGGATGTCAACCCTGGCCTGCCTGGCCCGAGAGGACCTTGCGTGCTGCGTGCTCAGTGGAGCGCGTCTTACCGCACTGCTCGCCCTGAGTTGCCGTCGAGGAAAGGTGCACCTCTTTGCAGCGCTTAAGCCCCCAGGAGCAGGGCGGGCATGTGCACCCGTGGCCCTCGGTGTGTGCAGGGAAAGGCTGGAGTGGGCACACTGCCCTACCCAGCTAGCGCCACGGGGTGGAGTGGGGTCGTCACAGCCTCAGGCCTGGCCAGGCGGCCTCAGCTGCCGATGACTGTCAAGTCTCTCTCCGCCCCCCGCCGCTGTGTTGGCCAGGCGCCACGGCCGCCCCCTTGTCCTCGCTCCCGCTTGAGCGCTGCGTGAGGCCTTGTTGGTAGGTCGCCCGCCGTCCCTCCTGTGGAAACGTCTGTCAGCCCGTGTGGTCCTCCAAACCCGCCTGCTGGGTGGCAAGCTTTTCTCCCGGGCGTTCGGGTTGCTCTGTGTCCTGGCTGGTTCTGGTGACTGGTGTCCCAGCAGAACCCTGCCGTCTACGGGGGGCCCCTGCCTGCGTCCCCGGCTGTCACACTGGCCTGCTCCGTGGTGAAGCAGGTGGTCCCAGCCACTCAGGAGCTAAGGCTGGAAGATCATGGCGAAGGGACCCTGAATTTTTAACTCGGGACCGGGCACAGCTGGTCCCGTGGCCGCAGGGCCACCTTTCCCAGTACCGGTGTGTGTCAGCGCCATGCCAGGCAGGGTGTGTGAGCACGTGCCCATGCTGTGCCCTTCCTTGGGGCTCCTGTGTGCTGGCAGGGCCTGAGCCCTCCGTGACCCAGGGCCCTATCTGTGTGAGGGAGTGACAGCAGCGTCCGCTGCCCAGAATGCTCAGTCGAGGCCGTCACACGCCCCGGGGCCCTCAGAGACCTGGGCTCTGTGTGTCCTGGGCTGCGCATGGTCTCTGCACGTCGGTGAAGGGAAGGAGAGGGTGCTCTCTGCTCCTCCTCTTTGGTAGTTCTCTCTCTTTTTTCTTTTTAGAGAGAGATTTTTGCTAGGTGCGTGCACTCACCAAAGAGACAGAGACAGAGAGACAGAAAGCAAGCAATCACCCCCTAGGGGGCGGATTCCACACCATAATCCCTTCTCCATTTTCCTCTTGGGATTTGGGGCACGTTGTGTCTGCGTTCAGTGTGTTTTAAGCCGCTGGGTCTGGAACTCAAACCATGGTCTACTGTGTGGAGTCAGCCATGCAGACGTTACACTCTACTGCTGCCTCATCTCATTTTATAAAAAAAAAAAAATTCTTTGATTTGTGGGGGCCCTTGGCAGGCCTCATCACTGTGACCCTGCCCTCACCCTCTGGGCCCTCAGGACCCTGGGTGAGCGTGCACTGGCGTAGGGCCCACACCATCTGAGCCCCTGCAGCCCTGCAGCTCGCTCCCAACGCCTCTTTCCAGACCCTGTTTGTGTTCTCTTTGTCCAAACTGGCCAGGGCTTCACGTAATCGCTGTCTGTCCTTCTAATATTGAAAATGAGTTTTCCTAACCCAAATACCTGCTTGTTGGTCCAGTCAGAAATTACCACACACATCGTCACCAACAGGTAGTTTTCTGTTCTCGGTCCATCGAATATTGCACTTTTCCTCCCTCGTCAAGCCCCCCCCCCCCCCCCCCCCCACCCCCCCCTGCCCCACCCGCCCCCCCCCCCCCCTCC